GACCGTCATGACGACCGTCCGATATGTTTCAAGCAGTAAAAAAGGTACGCCTAAGAACATTAGTCCCTGACGGAGTCATATACTAGTCTTATAACTGCTACAATCAGCGTCTGGACTAGTCTTGTAATTGTCATGGTCGGCGTCTGGACTAGTCTAAACGAAAGGAAGATAAAGATGAAGAGTAGATTCGAACATGTGAACTTTGTAGTACTTACGTGTAGCATTTATCCAATTGAACCATAGGATCCGAAAGATAGTTTTTATTATTTCAAGGTCTTTCTCACACTCTGATTCGCTTTAACAGCCTAAGTTTTTACTGATTTTTACCAGTGAAATATCATTTTTATTTGTATCAGTTCATAAAAAATATATAATGCGCAATGTTCTCTCTATCGATTTATTGATTTTTGCTTCGATGCAACATATTTTTTATATTGAACCCTCGAACATAAAATTAATAAGATCTTGGAATTATTTTCTTCAACATTACTTTTTGTTATCATGTGATCTTTACAAGTTTGTTTATTTTACATTAAATAAAAGATAATTTTTAAAACAATGAATTAGTTTATTTTAATTTAACTATTATCTTTTAAATTAGGATATTCAAGTACAATTACACAATTACCAGGTCTAAAAATCATCGCATGTTTTTTTATAACCCATTTTGGATGTTTAAGATGGTAAATATTTGATCTATTTAAAATGAATATATTTGGAACTTTTATAAATTTATCATTCAATTTAAATTTCATTTTTGATGAATCTGATTTTTTTTCAATAAGTTCTTCAATTAACAATCTAACAGTATCCTGTTTTGACTTCACAATAGCTCGTATAAGACCCATTTTTTGTTGATTATCAGAAAAATAAAATGATATACAATTATCAGCAAATAATTTACTATATGATATTGTTGTTGTTTTTAACAAAACATTTGAAATTTTAACAGAATGAAAAAATATTAAAGGATCTTTGAAATAAGATTGTACAATAGCAGCTATACCATGTTCAGTATTATCATATAAATTTGATGAAACAGATTTTGGTAGGCTACATCCATCAATAATAGTTTGATAATGAACTAATGATTGTTTCCGATTCAATAATTGTTCATTAAATGTAAAGAGTGAAAGTGGGTAAGAAAAATTTCGATGACGAACGATAGCATCTCGAAATAAAACATGCTGCCGTATCAATTGTTTAGCAAAATGAACTGTACCATGGACTGTATTAATAAAATCTTTGTCAATTCCTATATATATAATTTAAGAAGACAAGAGTATTGAAGTTATGTAATTACCTTCATAGCTAAAAGTAGAATACATCCATAATGGACCTATGTATTTCAAGCTTTCACTAACATGTAATAAAGAATGTATGTTTGAAGTCATATGCCGTAAACCAAAAATATTTTGGTATTGTTCGACAAAATAATATAAAAGTTCTTTTACCAGATCTATTGTTTCATAGGTAATATATTCTGATGATGCAAGATTAATTGCTGTTAGAAAGGATAATAACATCTTCTGTGTTTGTTTAGGCACACAACGTACTATTATTGGTATTCCAAAATGAAATAACGTTCTAAATTCACTTGCTTTGAATTTAGACATCAATTTAATGGACCTAAACCTACGTTGTGTAGTAGATGGAATTTTTATGTGAGATAATAGTTCATCAATATGATTTATTTTTTTAAATAATGACCACTCTTGTTTACGATATTTTCGATCAAATAAAAGTTGCATTAATCTTTTAAATCCACCTCCATAGATTGTATGTAAAGAATCTGTTAAGAAAGACTTGCCATAATTGATATATTTCAATGTTGTTAAAGGACAATGCCCTATAAATGACAAAAAGAGAAAAGAATTTCTTGTCAATCCTGGTTCTTATTTGTCCTAATCGATTCATTTTTAAATGTAAGTAAATATTTCTGCAACTGATTTGAAAAAAAATTGCAGATAGAATTTCAGTATATAACTTTATATACGATGACCGAACAATTCGTAGCGGACGCTTCGTCTCGAACGATTTGTTGCAGGACAATTCGTCACCGGATACTTCGTCGCATGGACAATTAGTTGTAGAACACTTCGTCGCAAGACTATAATTCACTTATATCGTATAATTGGATTACAGTCTTACGACAAATTATCCTGCGACTAATTGTCCATGCGACGAAATATCCGGTGACGAATTGTCCGACGACGAATTGTTCGATCATCGGATATAAGACCTTTTGGAACAAAATTAATCAATATTATTTAAGAAAAAACTTTAACACAATTTTTTCCAAAAAACATCTTTCATGGGAATATAAAAGACACGTCATTCGACAGATTTCATAATAAAAAATCATACCTAAATGACCAAAACAATTGTTTAATTCTTCATTTGCTTTGGAATTATTTTTAATTTGTGTTTTATTAGATGTTTTTTTATTTAAATCGTTTATACCATAAACATCTTGAATTATTTTCGAACAGCTTTCTTGACATCGAAGTTGATAATCTCCAAATGGATAAACTCGTATAGTGAACGTCTTTTTTTTGTCACCACTACCTCGTACTCCATGATAAGATTCACCTAAATAAAAAAAAACCAGTTCTACTGAGAAAAAAATGAAAATGAAAAAGCAAAAAAAAGCACTTTTTAAAAAATAACACCTGCTAAACCTTTCTTTTCTAACCTTTTGAGTACGGGATTATTTTTCTATAGTAAAAAGGGCGAGAGATGATTGATAGAGAAAGAGACCCGATAAAAATTTTTGATTCGAAACCCTAACTATATTATACCAAACGAAAAACGTCAGTGAGTTAGGTACTTTTTGTGATGGAATCTGATCTTTTAAATGGAACCATGAAGAGCT